GCACGCACTTCTTGCAGGATTGCAACGTCGTCTCAAGCTAAAACACGCACTCACGAGAATGCCACTGTTGGCGGCCATCATTACAAACTCAGTCCCCCTGCTCGTCTTGGCTTCCTTGTCTTTAGCCGTTCTCGTTGCGTCGGCTTCCAGTAAAGTTCGGTGTCCGTCAAACGAGAGTGGCTCCCGGTAGGATTCGAGCGACGGAAAATCGAAAGTGGTTCTGGTAAAACTTCCAGCGAAAGTGGTTGCCGGTAATAATTCCACGAAAGACTGGTAAACTACGCTGGTTTCTGGTGAAAATGAGTGGAAATTAACCCGTTTCCACCGAATGTCACTGGAAGTTTTTGCCGGATTTTTACCGAAAGCAGTTCCGGTAAAACTTCCACCGAAATCTGGTAACTGAAAGTGGCGGCCGGTAATATTTCCACCAAAGAAACTGGTAAACTACAGTGGTTTCTGGTGAAAACGAGCGGAAATTAACCCGTTTCCACCGAATGCCACTGGAAGTTTTTGCCGGATTTTTCATTAGGGGACAACGTAAACGTTGAAATCGCGGAGATTGTGCATAATCATCGCAAACCAAATGTATGCCCCCATCCTAGCTTTCCTCGAACAGGAAGCAACTCGATCCACAAGCCTTTAACAACGAACAAAATTGCTGAAGTTCAATTTTAATTTAAAAGAGACGTATAGCCATGATACTGAAGAAGTAACGAAAACTTTTGGCCCCAAGCAAGAACAAGCAACTTCGTCTCACGACAGAGTTTATCAAAGGATGCCACAAGAGGACGTTCATCTCGATTATGTCATGGAAGACAACAGCTAGGAAGCGAAGCGGTAACAAAAGAAACTAAGCAGATACAGAGATAACACTGAACGAAATCAACAATATCGTGTAGGAAGGATTTCGACAAGGATTGAGAAGCAACAACACAACGTTCATATAAAATATTAAAAAACTTGATTCCATCAACTGGACGCAGCAAACGACAAAAACGAAGTTGCCTACTAAGAAGGATTAGCTAACATCAACGAAAAAAGAACAAAAGAAACGGAAAGGAATACTGTCTAGACACACCAGATTCGCCTACTTTCCAAGGCTTCCTCGCGCCATAGAAGGCCTTCTAAGGTATCTGAATCCCAAGGCCTGGTTCCTAGACGCACAAGAAGATGTCGATGGTTTCTCTGGAACGTAAATTCTTCTCCGCCAAATGACAGGAAGATAAAAAGCCATGCCTGATGAACGGAACGGTGTTGTGATCACTGATTTGGTGCTTCAGCGAAACCTTACAAAGTTTACAAGCCAAAGGGACACAGCAAGCTATCACGGACTTGGTACGATCTTGGGTAATTTTTGTGAGGAGAGATTGTTAGAATTTCTTTACCTGCGCTGAAAAAAATAAGGAAGTTAAGTAGAAGGGTAGATGATAAAGAAGTGAGGTTGTAGGCTCCTGCAGCGCGGAACGCAGCACCAGGTTTATTCTTGTGTTACGTTAGTCACAAGTCCAAAATCAACATAGTTTAACTTTGAAGAGGATTTTAAGGAGCGCGTATGGCACACGATACTTACTTGCGTAGCAATAAAGCACCCGAATCGCAGCGGACACAAGCGGACGCCGTATCTCAGTGTCGACAGTAGCGCCACTGCTCCATCTTAAACGACTGCTCCTAAATTTTCTTGGTGCTTCTTTTCACAAGTAACAACAACTAAACGAATGACGAAGCACACTCCCTAGGGACAAAATGGCGTCATTTAATAAGCTCTTCTGGTGTATTCGCTTCCTAAAATCTGCACCGTCACGCAGTCGGTGCTTCAAAGAAATGTCGTTATTTGTAGGCACCTCTTATCTAGGAACTTCAACTGCCCCTTCTCTCGCGCGCCGATGCTGACACCTACCCTTCTAGGCAGCGTAGTTTGGGTTGCGATGGGATTCGTGGCATCTAATTGGCTTGGCTGAATACCGGCTTTGGATTGCCTAGAACACCTTGCATGGGCACATCAAATAACGTTGCAACTGTTCGCGTATTCGAACAATGAGTGAATTGTTCACATTAGAAGTTCTTGCTAAGTGGTGCTAAAGACTATGGATCCTGCGAAAGTAGCGCCTCTGCCTCCCCTGCCTGCTAGCCGGATACAAACGCGTACTAATATACACACGAACATACCTCGCAAGCTGATTGGTTAATAAAGAAAAAAGTATCGACACTGAGCAATGAAAGACATAAAAGTCGCCCGGAAAAAGGCAGACCACGTACATACGCTAAGCAGAAGCAGGGGTGGAGGTAACGAACAACATAACATAGCGAACAAAACATGGTCGCACCTTACATCTCGTAAGCACACAAAAGTAGGGCTCTATCTTTTACCTAATTAAAGACAATTCTAGATAGGTGTAGCATTTGGCCGGCCAACGGCCGCACCCCATTCCCCGCACCTCTTACACTCGTGCGAGTGTCACGAAAGACAAGTGAATGCGACTAATGACCAGCTGCGCGTTACGGCAAGGCTACCACCTGAGGAGCTCCTCCTTGCCCAACCAAAATAGTGCGGAGTCCAGGTGTCGGAGCAGTGTACCCCGCAGTCGAGAAAGCACGGGCCACATTACACGAGACCGCCGTTGCTAGCCAACTGCTGGGCAAAGGTTCTGCCCCTCCCCCCCCTCCCCCCCTCCCCCCCCCCCCCCCCCCTTCCTCCCGAGGTCACCGACTGCTCGACACAAATTTCCAGATGCGCAAGCCCCGGAAGCCATGGTGGTGCAAGCCTCAAATCGAGCGCGCAACAGGACAATCTGAAATAAACGTGGGTGTTTGTCTCCACCTGCCCATAGTGGGGGAAGTTAGGATTGGGAACAATGCCTCAGTGGTGGAATCGTTGTCTGGTTGGAAGAACCCCCAGCCCCGAAGCCAACAGAGATTCTCCACAAATCCGGGAAGGCGACGAAAAAAAGAAACCGACGAAATTTACGGAAAGGCGGCTTGGCGTGTGCCACTGGAGATCAGCTGAACGGCCGCCTCAATGCTCCTCTTCAGGTCTCACATGGTGGATACGCGGCTGTCGTAGACTACTCTTTACAAACTCCCACATGAAAACATTGCAGATCGTCAAGTACGCTGAACGGGGCCACGGCATTGTGGAAGGACCTCTGCCCTTCCACTTTGCAGGGAATGTGCGGTGTCCAGTTATTCCCTCACAGCGGACGCATAGTGCAGGAACGCCCCGTCCTGTTGAAACACGCAAACTACCCTTTGCATGCGGAGTTCCTCCAATTCGGGCACAAAGTTGTTGCGCAGTGTACGAAGGTTAGCGTCTACAATGACCTATTCTTCAAAGAAAAATGAACGAACGATACCTTCTTTCCAAATGCCGCATACTATGGTAACCTTGGGGAGCGTCCCAGTCTCTCTTGGTTAAATGCGGGTTGGACTCGGTCCAATACACGCACTTTTGTTTGGAGACCTGGCCGTCGAGGTGGAAGACGATCTCGTCGGCGAAAAGAAGAAACTGCATTTGGCTGGGTCCAGCTGCGATCCGGCACTGCTCCTCTTGGCGAAACACGAGGCGCCTTGTCTTTTAAGGATAGCTCATGCAAATTCAACATCTTGTATGGGTCCATTCGCTACATCCGCAAGGTGCCCCTGACATCGTAGTGGCTGGCTGCTCTTCGAATTGAAAGATGCGAGTTCGACGAGAAAGCTCCAATGATGGCATTCTTTAGGAAGAAGTATGGCGGCGACCTCGTTTCTCGGTGGTCTGTTGCCGACGTCCCCCTCCTCGGTAAAGCACCGTAGCCATTTCAGTGCCGCGGGCGAACTTAGCCGCAGCCTTATGAACTCCGTCCAAAAGCCTTCCGACTTTCCTTGCACTCTGCGTACCGAATGATCACTTCCGCTCTTCCGGCAGGTGTCAACCGAGCCATTACGGTAGTAAACGTGCAAGGCGACACGAAGCTTTATTAAACAAACCTGGAACCTCAAAGAACGCAAACGAAAATCGACAACAAAGCAGATAGAAAATTGACAGAGATGAGCGCGATTTAATGTAGACCAATTTAACTTCCGTTCCCAGATTTCTTAATAATGCGAAAGCATTAATTGTCCCATGAAGTGGTGCCGGTGACGTCTGTAACCGCGTAAAACGTTAGGTAAATTGGCTGCGACGCGTCATATTTTTTTTTTCTTTTTACACGGAAGCCGGCGTGGTCGCTCGATATCAAAGCTGACGTGCCCCGGGAATAAAACACAAAGAAAAGCATAGCAACGCTGATGCCTCGTCACCGAAGCCGGCGGGTGCGCTGAAGGTAAAAGCGGACGCGCTTCGGAAATAAAACACAAAGTAAAGCACAGCAATTAACGCAATGCTTTTTCACGGAAGCCTTCGTGAAGCCGGCAAGGTTCGGCGCGCCTGCGCAGTGGGGGAGCATGATGTCACCACCGCAGCACCGTGTGCGATAGGAAGACGTGGCGCGCTGGTTGTAGGAATGCTTTCGCATTCCTACACGTAAGCAGTCTTATGTGTTTCTGCCGTGTGTTTTGCTTAAAGATCAAGATTAACCAAGTATAATACTTCAAGAAGCATACATTAGCAACGTCGAGGCAAGCGTGATAAAACGTTTTGGAACAACGCCTGCTACCTAAATTCGAAGCAGCTGCCTTTGATGGGACAAGCTTGGCACGCCATACGAGTCGCTTGCGTTGCTTACGTGATATCTCGGTGGTGTCACCAAACAGCGAGTCTCCGTCGGCTAAAAGACACGGCAGACTGCCTGGTGGAGGTTTTTCTTTTCTTTGTTTTAAGTGTGGAAAGTCCATCTCCTCATTTCTTCTCGCACACGCACACACAGACAAAAAACAATTTACCATCTGCTTCAGTTTCTGATCTATATTGCACAGCGATATGTTAGTAAACCAATTTTAGCGGCCCGTTTAAAGTCCCCAGGTACCACGCAGTTTGATCCAGTCTTTTAAAAATAAATCGCCTTCTTCCACTCCAATCGGCATACCTGAATGCATGAAACGCGGCACAGTACGCCTTGTGTGATAGTTCCACGCCCTTTGGAAGGCCCGTTGATCCTGACGTGTACAGTACAACCACAACCTCTTCCTCGTTGTCAGTAGGCACGTGGGACTTGAATGAGGCATCCGATAGTTCTTGAAACTGAAGGATATCAATGAAACCGGGCACGCTTCCGATGGCGAACACGGCCTGCGAAGTAATACAAAACTACTCTTAGCTGTTGTGGTGTTTGCCTGGTAGATCAAAACAATGGCACATATTCCTCATAACAATAGGTGAAATTGCCTAAACCCAAAGGAAGTGACAGTCCCTTTCTTATTAAGTGATAACATTTTCATTTTATACTATGTGAAGTGAATATATGCTTGAGCATGTTAATAAGTTCTTATTTTTAATTTATTCCTGCTAGGGCAGTCTCTCGAATGTTGCAATAGCGAACAAAGCCTTTTTTGGTTTTCTAGCCACATAAGCGCTATAAAAAGCAGACAAGCTTATCCACTTCCTTATAAAAAATAAAATGGATTTAGTGATATTTTTACACAACCCTGCAAAATAAAAAAAAATATTAATCTGTTCAACAGATGCGAGCTCAGCTCCAACAATTTTTTCTTGTACGATTCAAACATTATTTTAGCGGTCGTGTTTTAGTTTAGCGAATAAAACCCAGAGAAAAGTTGTATAGCGTGGTCAATGCTCAATTTGAAAAATATATCATAATTTTCTCACCTTAACGCACGTGGGTATTACAAACTTCGCAACATTCGGTGCGGTTTGTTGGTCGACGAGTAGGAAAGTGCAGTGACTGTCTTCAATCATATAGACCAGTTCCCCTATGGAAGCGGTCATACGTTAAGGAAATCTTGGTTTTGAAAAAAAAGCTTCAGGTCATCAGCTATTGAAACGGAGGCATGTAACGAGCACTCACTTGCCACAGATGTCGCCTTTGCCATGACAAGGGTCCCACCCGCAAACACAACCCCAAACACTGCAGCTACATTTTCAACTCCATTGCCAATGTGGGCGCACACCCTGGACCCTGGTTTCATACCATGTTGTTGAAAACCTACAGCGTATCTGCGTACTTTTTCCAGCAGATTACTTGCATTCATAGTTTTATAGGTGTCAACCTAGATGAAAAGGAACAAAAAATTACCCTAGCCAAGCCTGATCGCATCATGGTCTTTATATTAACTTGTCTGGGATCTTTTCGTTACGCCATGAAAAAGCTATTCCAAGGAAGAAATTGAAACACCGGAGGCGTGCTGCTGACGTTAGGAGTCAAGCAATCAGAACGGTCGAAAATCCCAACGCACGGACGTGTGTTCCTGGAAGACACCTTAAAGAAAGTCATTGGACTTGTTTACTCGTTTATATAACTCTGCTATTACCAAGGACCCTTCGAAAAGATGACGATCGTTAATACCATTTATACTTGATACGTAGGGGGCACTTTATTTCGGTATAAATTAAACGCCACGCGGGGGATAGAACTAGATGTCACAAAAATGTATACACTTCTAAACTTTAAAAGAAAGGCTAGAGGTACACTTCAGCACTTCTTATGAGTTGTGAGTGCGAAAGCATGGATATCGTTCTCCACGCCGCGGCCGCTTCTGATCCTCTCGTCGCGGGCACGCAGCGCCGTGGGGTGGCGCTAATTGACACTGACACGCGGCGGCTTCATATCGCGGCCGTTTTGCGTGGTTTTCTGCGTGGTTTCAAAGCTAGGAGGCCTCAAATCGCGGCTTCGGGAATCCACCTGTCGTTTGGTGCGGCTGATGACGTCGGCTTGGTCCATGGGACAGGTAATGCTTTAGTATAACAATCTGTACTTGAATCATTCCGGACGCGCGAATAGTTTGTCTGAAGACCATAGTTTAAACAATTCCTTCGGCTGTCTCAAGTTGTCGCTCAAACTTATCATGACGTTCAGCAATTTTCTAAATTTAAAACGCAGAGATGAAAAAAAAAAATCAGGACGTTAACAAAACGGGATACGCATCGGCTTTGTTATGTGTTCGTCTATTTCTTGTGTGTTGGCAACTTACTGTATTACGAGAGAAAAAATGGCGCCACTTCCAGCATGTATGCAGTAAAGGGTTGACCCGGGAGTACAATGGACGGCCCTAAAAATAAGAAGCTCGATCTATACCTAAGCGCTTATGAGTTGTGAATGCGAAAGCATGCAAGCCACTCGTCCGCTCGCTTTGTCGTCGGCTCGTCCGTTGCCTTTGTCGTCTGTTGCGTACTTTTCGTCGCCGTTCAGCACGCGTACTCCCCTCGGCACGCTGACCTTGGACGCTCCGCGTTAACGGCGTGCTGATGGACACGCAACGCCATGGGGTGAGCGGCCGTGGAAACTGACGAGCGCAGTGGCCAATGGGAGCCCCGGTGACGCGCAAGTCAATGAAACCGAAGGATCGGGGAAACTAGGTGATATTTTCGCGCTTCAAACTGACGACGTCAGCACGCTCCATTTACAGTAAATGCTTTCTTATTCAAAAAAGAAAAAAGTTCCACGAGGCGCAATCTACACTTTAAAAAAAAAAAAAAAAAAAAAAGGTTCCTGTTGCCACACCTTTTAGAGTGTGACTTGCTTGTCCCTGGAGTTCGTCTCAAGACGTTAGCAAAGTTACCCCTTCCGCTTGGGAGTAACTTTTTATATCTAATTGGGAGCAATAGCCTTTCTATCAAGGATGTAATTTTACTGCCGTTAAGAGGTAATAGGGCATATGGTTGGGTTGAAGGTTTGGGTTTTGGGAGTGACAGCACATCTTCAAGGGTGTATATTTACCTCTTCTAGGGGCAGTAACTGTCCATCAGCTTACACCCTCTCTGAGGCTACCTCAACGTTACTAGAATACTGATTGGGTAACTGCCATAGGAGCCTGCATACAAAACATTGCGGTGGCTTAGCTCGGTTACGCCAGGATATACGTTGCGTGAGCTTATGCGCAGAAAATGAGAGGCGCTATCAAGCAGCTCCGGTGCAGCGTCAGACCTGGCTACTGTGCAACGGAGCGGACAGCTGGGCACGCGGCGGCGCCAATGCGTCTGCAGCGGCTATGACGTCATTCCTCTGGATCGCGCAGACCGGCGAGGCGCGCGCGGCGGCGGAGCGCGCGGCGCTCCGCCGCGCGCTTTACAGGCTTATTTCGCTAATTACTTGAAAGCGGTCAATATGCTTGTCTTAACAAAATAGCGTAGAATGCTTTCCTTTGGCATTTGCATACCTCTTCATCTTAGTTTAGATTATATTTCTTTTTCATGTTTATTCGTAAGGCGCACTAAGCTACTTCTGTTTTGTTCAGCAGTCCAACTATTAAAATACAAGGCTTATAAATGCCATGGGCATTTCAGTAACCTATTGCTAAACAAAGAGTTATGTTCGGACAGCAGCCCGGCATGAGGTCCTGAATGTATACATATACATGATGTATGATTAATGCATCATAGACAGCAGCTGGGAATTACTGGTCCTAGGATGGTGCTGCTGACCCCTGTGATAGAAAGCAGGCGCATCTTAAAATCTGATAATAGCCCTGTCATGAAATATCCTTGGCGTGAGCCTATAATGATGCAGTTTTGAATCACCACATCACGCACACCAGGTGATTCGGCATAGTGCAGTATAGTATTGAAGTTTGTGCAGTATAGTATAGATAGAAATCAATACTCACAATAATTGTCTTGTTCGATAATGTTTTCAAGCGTTGCTCTATAAGTTCAGGTGCACAGCTGTTTCCAACGTCGAAGTCCAAAAAAGGCGAGTGTATTACTCGCTTCACAATTCGAGCGGCCATACTTAGAGGTTTTTGTTTTCTAAAGCTGCGAATCGGGGGGCATTAAAACATATTGTTTCACAAACTGGACCGAAAATACAAACTCATTGGTTATATTGTTCACTAAAGCTAAAGCAGCGGAACTACATAATCTAGCTTCATGATTCTGCTCTGAACGAATATCGTAATTTAAGAACGTTGTTGATCTGTTGCTCATTGCAGTTTCTAGATTAGAAAGTGAACTTCTTGCGCGGAAAATACAGTATATACATATATAATGAGAAATGCGAGTTAAGCGGTGGCGTTCTTTGTAAAAAATTAATATTTTTACCGATCTTTACGAAGGATCTTCGCGGGGGGGCTTTTCTTTTGCAGAGAACCTCGCAGGGCAATGGAAATCACGCCGCTCACCACAATGACCAACCATTAGTCTACAAGAGGAGAGGAGCGCACCTGCGCAATGTGCACAACTGCGCAGTATCCAGCTGTGGCAGTTACATGTGTGGGAGTTTAATCGTTTTCAGGAAGACACATGCAAGCCGGAACGATGGCCCGAGGAGTCCCTGCCGCGCATGAACTGGAAATACCCGACGCCACTGGAGAGTACCGGCTGCGCGGCAAAAAAACATCGCAGCACCTCTGCCCCCCCCCCCCCCCCCCCCCCCCCTCCCCGGGGGCCCTACCGGACGCGAAATTCGTTTGCAGCCAAAATTGGTTATGTAATAAGTCCGTTTAATAAATCGTATTTCTAGATAGAACATTCCAATTTCTATACTTACATGTTGTGCAACAAAATCACCGCAAGCGGGAGTGGAAGAACTTCGAATGCAGCTTCCAATTGCATAATGCCGAACGTTGCGCAGATCGTTCGCGCAAAGCTTGTCGAAGCCGCCACTTTAAAACGCAGTTCCCTGCAGTTAAAAGCTTGTAGCCTTCGGAGCTGGACGGTTCTGCTTGGTATGTAACTTTGCTGACTTCTCACAATAGAGGCTTGCAACCGACTGAGAGTAATTTGGTGGTGAACACTGCAAACATGTCTATACTAGTGTGGGCACCGAATGTACTAAAATTTGTCACAGTTACAGCAAAAGCTAATCAACTGGAAAATTTAACTCAATCTGAACATTGACTCTTCCGATAAATTTATACAGGGACTGTGAACTAGTGAGCTTGCACACTTTCCTGCATCAACGGGTATTAATACTTGAGGCATAGTTGACAAAGAATAATATTTCTTTGGGGTGATGCTACTTACAACAGCACATATGCAAGCATGAGTGTGGTGTGATAATTAGCACAAAAAATTGGTTATGATTGATATTTAACTTGTTAAGCTTCCCATTTAACTGTTGAATCTCAACATGATCAGCCCTTTGCCAAAATATGCCATAACAGTTGTTGGGCTTTGTTGACTGAATTTGACTTCACACTATTGAGTGGTGTACTCAAACCTTCAGGAGTTCAAAATATTAACCCCTCAAGTGCCCTGGACGAGCTGAGCTCATCGGTCAGTTTCTGGCTCAAACTGTCATGAACGAGCTCAGCTCGTCCAGTGGTTTTTTCGGTAGCCCTCAATTCCACGGACGAGCTAGGCTCTCCGAGTAGTTTTGCAGTGCTGATCATAGATGGCAGCACTCGTTTTAGTTGGCGAATATTTTTTTCGGCTCCGCTGTTTTTTGCGTAATAAACTTTTCACATTTTCTCTGTATTACTAGAGGAATTCAACCCGTTCAATTCAATTAATTCAACCAGTTCAATTCAACCATTTCAAGATAAAAAAAATATGGCAGTTTTAGGTTACTTTTCGAAAAAAAATTTGGCAGTTCGGCGCCAACCACAAATTCGTTTTGCGCCCTAAATATAGCTCCAAATTTTTTTCTTCTTTGTAAATTCCTTTTATAATATTTTTCCATCTAGCCTGTTTAAAAAAAATTTTTTTTCCTTCGCATGGTGTCCTCCAAGGGGTTAAAACTAATAAGCCTGATAATTACAACATCTCGACCTAAGGAGTCGTCGGTGGCTACTGCAGCAGGAGGCGTCGAGATACGCTACCTATCTGCAGCAGCACATTATTTCTTGATCCCATGCTCGCAGTAAAGCCGAGTTACACTGACATCAAAGATATTCAGGTCTTTTCGAATTTTTTTGCCCAGTGGTTTTTAGACAAC